TCCTGGATCATGGAATGGGGAAATGCTTTCTATTGAGAGCACTGGCCCAAAAGGAGGCTAAAAGTAATTGAAGGCCTCATGAGTAAGTAACAGAGTCACTTGATGTTTTTGAGAGCAGTCTGAAACATTTTAATTGTCTGCTTTTGAAATTAAGGGGGAAAATATATTTTCTGTTTCAGATTATGCTAATTGAAAGAGAAAATACTGGGAGACAGGAGAGGGGAAACAAAAAAGGTGGTAGAGGATAAGGGAGACCAAGTGAGGAGGATGGAAAAAGAACTACAGAAATAAGAGGAAAAGGAAGATATTTACAAATACAGGAAAGAGGCACATGACAAGATGGATGGAAGGGAAACAAGGAGAGAAAAAAAGAGATACCAGGCTCCACATAGTGTGAATGACTATAGTATTTGTGTACAGTCCACATTCATTTGGAGTATCAACATCCACTCAAGTAGCATGCACTGAATACCTATTGTGTGCCTGGGTGTTGATGAAGACTGAAACTAGCATGGAATTAGTCCTTGCTATCAAGACATTTATGATTTCAAAGAGACATAAAACATACACACAGCTACTGTACAAGGCACTGCTGCATCAAGGATGGCAGCAGGAGCCCTGGCTGTCTGCTCTCTGCCATACCCCAGGGTCACCACAGGGCCCGGCACTTAGTGAGTGTTCATTAACTGGTTCTTGGAATGTGTTAAACGCTAACTTGTAATGCAAATGCTATAAACACAGAAGTAGGGATTGCTTCTGACACAGGGGAGGCTCGACAGGAAAGGATTCCTAAGAATTGATGCCTGAAGAAGAGGTAGGATTTTTAGAAGTCAAGTTATAAGGCAACACATTTTCTTTTTTAAATTTTTTTTTCAACGTTTTTATTTATTTATGGGACAGACAGAGACAGAGCATGAACGGGGGAGGGGCAGAGAGAGAGGGAGACACAGAATCGGAAACAGGCTCCAGGCTCCGAGCCATCAGCCCAGAGCCTGACGCGGGGCTCGAACTCACGGACCGTGAGATCGTGACCTGGCTGAAGTCGGACGCTTAACCGACTGCGCCACCCAGGCGCCCCAAGGCAACACATTTTCAACGAAGGCCATACTGTGAAGCTGCAGAGCCTGTGTAGGTTTAAGAGCCTGGAAAATGTCAGATTATCTGGATGCAGGGTTTGTATTAGGAAGATAATAAAGCTGAGGAAGATTACTTCTAGATTGTCCTGGTCCTTGAAAGTTGACAAGAGGTTTAGGCTTCTTTTTAGACAAGAAGGAGGAGTAGGCATCAAAGAATTTTTAGCAACCAAAAATGAAGAATTAGAGTTAATGTTTTAAAGAGATAAATTGACGATTGCATTCAGAAATGTCTGACCTGGAGAGCCTGAAGCAGGGTTTCTGATAGCATGATCTGTAACCCCATCTTTAATCCAATCACTTAGAGTGCTTACTCAAAATGCAGACGCCTGTGCCTCACAGACATTATATTCCCTAGCTCTGGGGCGAGGTCCTGGATCTGTATTTAAATAAGTTACCCAGTACATGAAAGTTTCTGTATACAAAACCTAGCTAAAACTGGCTTAGAAACAAGACCAATGAGGAAGTATATTAGTTATCCATTGCCATGTAACAAATTTCCTCAAACTTAGTAGCTTAATACAACACAAATTTACTACCTCAATGTTGTAAGTCAGGAACTAGAGAGTGGCTTAATTAGATGGTTTCATGAATTTGCACTGAAGCTACAGGCCAATGCTGTAGTCATTGGAAGGCTTCGCTTGGTCTGAAGGATCCACTTCCACATTCATTGTGTGGCTGTTGCAGGAGTCCACAGTTCCTCTCAAGGTGGGCCTCTCCACAGGTTTGCTTATGATGTAGAGTTGGCTTCCTTCAGAGTGAATGATCAGAGAGAGAGACACACACAAACCAAGACAAGCTACAAGGTCTTTATTTTTTAATTATTTTATTTTTATTTTTTTATTTCAACTTTTATTTTTAAATGTTAAACCTACTATAGGCTGATCAAGAAAGATCAAATATGACTTCCTTAAACATGCACTATTTGAAACTGGAAAATTTTGGCTTATAACTAATGTTTTTTAAGTTGCAAGAGCATTTCATGAAGATGTTGCCCATTTCAAATATCAAATAAGATCTTCTCTCTCATTCATTTTAAGACCAGCAAAGACCATTTTAGTTCTAGCTATATATTTCTTTGGTTTCTCCAAATATTCCATCAGTTACTTCTCCCCCAGATAACGCCTTTGTTTTTATCAGCATCGGAATAAGAAGATCCTGGTGCTTATCCTATTTTTCATTCAAAAAGACCTTAGAGATTTGGACCTGTTTTGTGTTTCCCACTTTTTTCCACCATCTAGCACCGAGCACATTTTTTTTTTTTTAATCTAAATTCAAGTTGGTAAACATACAGTGTAGTCTTGGTTTCAGGAGTAGAACCCAGCACATTTTTGAATAAAGATCTTCTTGCCTGCCTCAGCATCTCTCATTTTGTTCACAGGGTCAGCAACTCTGCCCCTGCTGTCTCCCTGAAGAAAACTTAGCAGTCACCCAGGCGGCTGCTGGGCCAGAACCTGCACTGCAATTTTGAAGCTGGTGGTCCCACAGTAGTGCCTCAAAGACCTGCACTGGAAGCCCAGCCTGACAAGCACTTACAAGGTCTTTTATGACCTAATCTTAAAGTGACACACTAGAAGGTGGGGATGGATCACTGAGGCTAACTTGGAGTCTAGGTACTGCAGAAGACAAAATCCAGTCTGTGTGAAGTTGTAAGTTGAAATTATAGTATGTGATGTGAAATAATGTAAGTTAATGTGTTTGAACACTCATCACACCCAGGAACTATTCTAAGCACTTTACATGTATGATCTCATTTAGCCCTCTCAACAACTTCATGAGGTAGTAGGCATTGTTATCATCCAGAGGGGAAAACTGAAGTACAGAGAGGTTAATAATGAAGTGGGAGCACTGTTACAAAGACTTGTCAGGACATGAAAAGAATTTGCGTGTGGGGGAAGGTAATTGGCTGCTACCAGTGTTCTATGGAAATTTTGCTGGCTGATGAACCACCTTTATAGTTCTTCAACGGCTCAATCCATGAAGTGTTAGGATTCATTTTCAACTGGACACAGCAGCTACCCAGGGGCAAATGACAATCCAGCAAAATGCACCCACGGGCCATTCATTTAATAAGCAGTGGGAACCAAACCTAAACCGGAAATTCTCCCCTGTTCAGATCCCTAGAATGGTTCCTAAATAGCTAGGTCTCAAGGACTACCTCTGCCCCAAGGCTCTTTCTAACTTGTAGGCTGGAGAGGTTACGAATAAGAAAGGTTCAGTTTTGAAGGAAGCAATCAGACCTCTGAATTTATCAGGTAGGCTATGGAGAGGACTACTGAATGCTCAGTTTATCACATTTCTCCCCAACATGTGCAATCTGGAGTTCCCCAAAGCAGGCTGTTCTTCTGCCCACATTCTGAATGTTCCCCCACGATGATAAACGCCCTCCAACGTTTGTACTCTGCTTCTGCCCAGCTTTCCTGTACTCAGCTCCTCCCTTCATGCACCACCCCAACCTGTTCTTGCTGCAATTCACAAGTTTCCTTTACCTTCTTTCCTATTCTACAGATTTCTTTCATTTTTTAACTCCGTCTCTGTTTTCAGTCTCCGTCTTTCTAGCCTTTTGCCTCCTCCATCCTGTCCCACAAAGCCACACCTGAATTGACAAAGTCCTGAACTCTGATAAATTACTTAGTATCAACAAAAGAAAAAAAAAAAAAAAAGTAAGCTCCAGAGACTCTTGAGCAAAACCCGAGAGGTGATTGGACTTGGCCTGCCAGGACTCAGTGTAACTGAGAAGTGTCTGCCCGCCTCCGCAGGCTCCACCTTGAAGGAAACCTTGAGCTCTGGAGTGGAGAAAGGGCCTGGCCGGCTGGTATTAATAAGTTCTACCGGTCCTGAGATGGCGCGACAGGCCTTCACAGACCGCAGGTGGAGGGCGGTGGCCTTGCTGCCCCGGACCCCCGGCAGCTCGGGGCAGTGTGCGGTCAGGAGAGAGGGGCCCGGGATGCAGCAGGCCACACGGCCTCGCCGACGTCTGGCCCTGGAGCGTCTCCAGGTGCTAGGGTGGGGCCGTGAGCGCCCAGTCAGTCACTCCGGCATGTGGGTCGCGGGTGGGGCGGCGCGGGCGGGCCGGGGCTGAGGGACACTGTTTGCCAACATCTCGGCCAGAGTGTTTGTCCAGCCAGCCTGTGCCGCTCTCAAGCACCGCTGCCTTGCCCTCCCTTCCCCGACAGCTTCTGGCGGCCCAACTGGACGTGGCGTTGCTCGGGTCAATCTGCTAGAGGAGCGCAGAGCCCTGCACGGGTAAGTGCCTGGGGTGGGGAAGGGAGGCCAGGAAGGGGAGGCCGAGAAGACTGTACGTGTTGTGGGGCCGGGGGACTCCAGGAGGAGCGTGGAAGGCGCAGGGATGAGGCGGGCTGGGGGAGGCCCGGGGCGACGCCTGGGCCCGGGCCTGCACTCGCCCCTCCCCGGGCCCTCCTCCGCCACTGCCGGGCGGGCGGCGGGTGTCCGGTGTCGGGTGTCCGGTGACTGGAGCTGCGGGCGGGTGAGAGGCCGGGGCTTGTGGCCGTGGTACGGGGAGCCCCGAGGGAGAAGGCTTCAGCGCACTCGGGAGGTCTGGGGGCAGTTCCGGGGCTCAGGGCGGGCCTCCGGGTCCCTGAGGGGTGTGTGCACGCGCGTCACTGAGCCGGGGCGGGCCCGAGGTGGACGCGTGGGAGGGTCGGGATAGCTTGGAGCTTCTGGACTGTAGCAGAGCGGCCCCGGCGCCACGCGTGTCTCCCGTCTGTCCCGTCCTCGGCGGCTCCTGCGTGCCTGCGCCCACCCGCCCGTCGGACCGCGACGGGCGCCCCCGCCTGTGGCCCCGCAGCGACTGCACCCGCGGACGAGCGCTCGCGCACACGTGGGGTAGGGCCGTGCGGACCTCCCTCGCCCCAGACCTTATGGGAGAGTCCCGGGAACCGGTTTCCCAGCGCGCCGGCACCCAGGTCTGCCCTCCCTGTAGGGTTCGGGCGCCGCGGGCGGGGCCGGCTTCAGGGCCCAGCGTCGCCGCCCGCTGCTGGAGGCAGACCCCGACCGTGGCCCCAGCCAACCCGGAGATGACCTTCTTCAGCCAAGTGGACACTCCTGCCCACTCCTGTTCTCGGGGTTCGCGCGGGCGCCTGGAGGGGTGGGCGTGGAGTCACTGGGAGAAGTCACTGTTTGTAGGTTTTCTCAGGTTGTCTCAGAGCTTCCCAAGGGTCGCAGGGAAGAAGGAAGCATGGCACCCCTCTCTAAGCTTAGTGTTCCTCACCTCCTGAAAGGTTTTTGTTTTTAATTTTTGTTAATATTTAGTTTTGAGAGAGAAAGAGAAAGAGTGTGAGCGGGGGAGGGGCAGAGTGAGAGGGAGACCCAGAATCTGAAACAGGCTCCAGGCTCTGAGCTGTCAGCACAGATCTGGATGTGGGGCTTGAACTCACAAACCGTGAGATCATGATCTGAGCCCAACGTAGCCGCTTAACCGACTCAGCCACCCAGGCGCCCCTTGTTTTTGTTTTTAAAGTAAGCTCTACCCACCCACCCCTCACCGAAGTGGGGCCTCACGAGGTGGGGCTGGAACTCAGGACGGGGAGATCAAAGGTCTCTACTAAGCCAGCCAGAGTCCCCTATAAAGGACTTTTGATCGCCTGCTTAATAGAGACGACTTGGAGCTCTTAAAAAGTGAATAAATAAGTGGAAAGCATTTGTGGACATAGATTTGACACATGAATGGAATTTTCTAGATAAATCTGTATGTACAGTGATTTCAAATTCTGAAGCAAGGTATATATGTACAAAACTTAGCAAATTGCTGTCACCTCTGGTAATTCATTTTATCCTCAAAAATTGCCCTTTTGTAGATAAACTTTATAAGGTAAAGTTGAATAAGATAACTGAAAGTCTGAAAACAGCTGGCTGTTTTAGAAGAATTAGAATTCAAACTATATTCTTAGCATTAAAGTTTTACGGTTCATATTACATTATTGTTATGATTTAGGCTTTATCTCTGGTCTCAGAGTCATTAAAAACACAATTTTTATTTTGTTGAACAGGGCTGTGGAAGATGTGAGCATCAGGCCAAATCTGTGGTATCTTGGAAAATCCTATCACCCTTTACAAATTTATTTTTGAAATAAATAGCAGATGTGGTGTTGTCATTTCTCTTTTTAAAGAAAAGTGCTATACAAGAGAAAAAGTTAGCTTAGCTTTTCTTTTTATTGGAGCTTGAATAGCTGGAAGTTTGCTGCACCCAGTTTGTTAGATGGGGAAAGTCATTTGAAGTTTGAATCAATGTCAGGGGTTGTCCTGTCAGGGAGTGAAAGTGGGAAAAACCCTGGTTAGTTAGTTTCCTCGTTTCTATTTCCTCTACCCTGTCTCTACTTGTATCTGTAACGTCACCTAGACTATATGACATAGTCCTCAAATTACAAAGATGTATAGTACAGGCCCTCATTTCATGGATGAGAAAACTGAGTAGCTGACATCTGCAAGTCACACAGCTCTTGAAAAGCCCACACTGGGGTCCTTGCTAGATGTTCTGTAAGCACTCTGTGCAATGTGAATTTTCCATCTGAAAGCACAGGGGAGGAAGGAGTTAATCCACACTGGTGGGAATCAACAGCCTTAGAATGGCATGCATATTATTTCAGCTGCCTGACCTCAAGATAGCTGTTAGCTGGGTCCCGAAGTATTCTCTGAGGACACAGGGAAGCCAGTGTCTTTCTGTCAAGATCCAGTAGTTAACTTTAATGCTAAAAATCCACATTTGCCGGAAAAGGCAAAACAAACCAAAACTAAAACTGAAAGAGCTTGAGTATCTAATCACAGAGGTACAGTGGAACTTTTCATACCTGTGAGAGGCTGTACCATTTGTGCTACTCCTAGTGATTGTGAGAGGGGAAACCGAGAACACTAACACCTGGTGAATAAAGTAGGCAAACAACATCCACACTTGGGCCACCATGACAGTTCCCTGCTGCCCTTCTTTGGGGGTTGAGGGGGGGTGGGGGAGGTCTTTTCAATACCTGGCCTCCCCACAGCTTAGCTACAATTACCTGGATGAGGCTTTTGCCCCTCAGAAGCAATGTGTCATGCACCTTCAAGTCAGCATTTATGTTGCTGCAAGAATTTGCTGGTCTTCATTCTGAAATTTCACATGTGGTACCATATCCTGATGATGTGCTGATTCTGGGCTTACAAAAAAACTCTACTGTGCTAGTGGAGCACAGTAGAGCTGACTTTGAGCCAGACTGCCCAGCTCTGCCACTTTCCATCTTCTTCATCTGTGAAATAGGGATAGGGAGGAACTGAACTCCAAGGGTAATTGTGAAAATTATGTAAGTTAATGTATGTAAGGTGCTTAAGGGGGTGGCTGGCATAGTGTGGGTAAGCTCTTATTATCAGGGGTACTCTGGGATGGGGAAAGAGGAACAATGTGAATTTGGCACTTTCAGGGTTTTGGTTTTTTGGCTTTACCCACATCATTACTGTTGCTAAGATTCACCCCATTCCAAATAGGAAACAGAACTGAAACCTCAGGCTTCACTGGGTTCCTCCTTTTCTACATGTTTTATTGCTGTGAAAGTCAGTCACTGGAATTGTGGAATGTGCCAACATAAGGATATTTACTGGAACATCAAGGAGTCATTCACTTTGGTTTTTTACCACTTCATCTCAGAGCACTGCAGTCAAGTGTGCTGAGAAACCAAATTTCTTCCTGTGGTTCCTAGGAAGACAGAGCTCAGCCTCTGGCAACCTCTCTTTTAGTGTGGATTTAGTTGGCTCGGCCCCTCAAGAAGCTGTTGGGACCCAAAAGTCAGAAAAGCATCACAGGACATCAGTTCTGTGGCTCTTCTGGCCTTTGAGGGTCATCTCAAAGCAAAATACAAAGGTAGGAAGGGAGCCTGGGAGGGACATGTCTGCCTGATTTAGAGTCAAACATTGCTTTTAATTCTTTTAAAAAATTTTCTCTTCATACTGTGTTCCATTTGAGTTCCAGTAGTTGAATGCTGCAGGAAGTTATAGGATGCAGTTAGCAAGAATAGTTAGAGGCTCAAAAAAGGTTCCTGCTGCACAATTAATAGGGATGAATTTAACTATGTGCTGTGTATGCAGACATTCAGGGGTACCCCAACTGTTGAGCACTCTTGTGTCAAAAGACTGGTGTAAATGAAAGAGCAGCTTTGCAAGGAAGAGGAAGACGAGGGGAAGTCGAAGCCAGGGAGCATTACAGTGTGGCTTTGTGAGTGTCAAGATGAAGGAACTAGGTAAGAGGAGCCATGGTATAAGTAAGTAAGGGATGGTTTAAGAGTGTTTGAACTTAGTTTGGAGAATCAAGGTATTTGAGAGGCATGGCTAGATGGTGAGATTATTGAGGCATTGTGAGCACCAAATTACTAGACAACTTTTTAAACATAGGTGATCCTGAAAAGTCTCAGTAAGTAAGCTTTTTTGTGTATGCTACTATATTGAAGATGAAGTAAAAAAAAATCATCTAGGGTGCCTGGTTGTGTCAGTCTGTAGAGTGTGCAACTAACTTTTGATCTCGGGGTCATGAGTTCGAGCCTCACATTGGGTGTGGAGCTTACTTAAAATTTAAAAAAATAATAAAAAATCAACCAAACAGGAACGCATAAATTAGATGAAACCTCAGTGAAATTGCGCCCCCTCCCCCAATAGAAAGCCCCTTGTGAGTGCACCAGTCCCTGGCTTCTTGTTAAAGGAGCCCTCTAATAAAGTCTTTTGTAAACAGGGATCCTTTGTAAGGAACCTAGTTATGTCTCTGTTCTCCCAGTTTTTCTGGTCTGTAAATTTAAATTTTATTAAATTAGATATATAGAACAGGTACACCTAAATAAAACCTGGTGACCTTCCAGAATGTACATGAATGTTTTCTCCTGTACATACAGAGTTTTTTATGGTTCCAGGAGGTTGTCTGGAAATTGCCTTGTCCTGTGAAGATGAAAGCATGTAATTTTGTTTATTTAGTGCTACTTTTAAGGGGAAATGGGAAAACTGCATTGTGGTCTAATTTATATTTCTTCTTTTTCCTTCCTTCAGCGTGGCCCTGTTTTGGTTTGGTTTGGGGTGGGTAATTCTGTGAAATCTCAAAAACAGTATTTTCTTTTGAAATAAGTTGTTTGGAGAGAACCTTTTAATTTCTTCCTGTGCCTTTTTTTCTTTTATTCTTTTCTCAGCCATACAGTTGGTGGTTAGGCTCTGAGGTAATAATATGTTTGCTTCGTTGGGAGAAGGCCAAATCTCTGTTAATTTTTTTGTTTCCCTGAGATTGGCCTGTAAAAAGTTAGGGTTTGTTTTGTTTTTTAGATAAAGTATCTTTGGAAATTACGGGATAGAGGTTACACAAACTCTCGACAAAGCGTGCCTCAGCTTTTCTTCTCCTTGCGTCTGAAATGAAAGGCGATACTGTATTTCCTCCAAGCTTAATTCATAAGCCTGCCCCTGCCTGGCATCTACAATTTTAATACTGCCTGCTTTTTGCTTGTTGCTCTTTACAGGTTCACAAACAGAATTTTGGACAGGATATTTGGTGCCAGGAACCAAGAGCCAGTCTGCTGAATTATTGTCCCGGTCGTTAGGATTGCTGCAAGTCTCTTTGAAGGTCTGTGGGTGCACCCAGTTAACCAGCCCAGGGGAGGCACACCTGGAAGCCATTTCCAAGAACTTTTGCCACAGGTGTAAAAGACTCCAGACCTGCAAAGATGCTGAAACAGATACTATCAGAGATGTACATAGATCCTGATCTGCTGGCAGAGCTCAGCGAAGAGCAGAAACAGATCCTGTTCTTCAAGATGAGGGAGGAACAGATCCGCCGATGGAAAGAAAGAGAAGCAGCAATGGAAAAAAAGGAGTCCTTGCCAGTGAAATCCAGACCAAAGAAAGGTAAACTTAGCTATGTCTCTTCTGTGAATGTGTTACTATAGTGGCCCTCGGCTTGTTTTAACATTTCACACTAGTTAGAAGCAAGCCAGGTGCAAGTTCCAATTTGGTAGGTGGACCCTAAATGTTATTGAAAATATTATGGAGATAGTGCAGTTTATCAGTTTGAAGTGTATACTTACATGCACATACCTCCACACAGATAGCAATTACCATGAACTTGTGTAGCTATAGGCAGATCTCTTACTTGAAACCAGACTGACCATAAGCTGAAGGAAAAAGTCACCTGTGCAGTTTTGGTTTGGGGGTATTAAGGAAGACTTCTCTCCCACTTAGTCACTAGTGCCTAGTATTCTACTGCCACACAAAGAGTCATTGTATCAGCATTTTTATAGCAATTATGTTTATACTTCTTATACTTTAAGAGATTTTTCTTTGAGTTATCTTTAAAAAACAAAACGTAAATACTGCTGTAGGGAAAAAGTCATACGACACATTTTTTTAAGTAATCTCTATGCGCAACATGGGGCTCAAACTCATGACCCTGACATCAGGAGTCACATGCTGTGCCAACTGAGCCAGCGAGGTGCCCCCATACTGCATATTTTTTAATGAGAGTTAATTTTTCAGATGTACTTCTTCCTGACCCAAGGAGTCCCTGGTAGCTTGAGAGAGCCTTTTGAGACCATGGGGCAGGAATTCTTTGCACCTTAAGACTTAAAGCACATACACACACAGACATAGAAAAGCACACATTAACCACTTCTGTTCTTCCTCCTCCCCCGACACAAATTCTGTCATGGATGAATACCTAAGCTGTTTTAAAAAACAGTTTTCAAGGTCGCTTACAGAGGCATTCAAGGCCAATTTCTCCTCGTTTTTCATTAAGCCAGGAAAAATAAAATTTGATAAATTTTCAGGGTTTCAAAGATTGAGAAAATGAATCACACTTGGGAGTTGGTATATACAGACTCAAAATGAAGTCAGTTTAGTGACCTTACCTTACACTGCCTTTAATGAAAACCTTTACAATTAAGCCTTTATTTTTTAAAAAAAAATTTTTAATGTTTTTATTTTTTGAGAGAGAAAGAGACAGACAGACAGGCAGAACATGAGTGGAGGAGCAGCAGAGAGAGAGGGAGACACAGAATCCGAAGCAGGCTCCAGGCTCAGCTGTCTGCACAGGGCCTGACACAGGGCTGGAACTCACGAACCATGAGATCATGATCTAAGCCGAAGTCAGGCGCTTAACCAACTGAGCCATTCAGGTGCCCCGCAATTAAGCCTTTCTTTTTTTTTATTTTTTTTTTTTAATTTTTTTTTTCCAACGTTTATTTATTTTTGGGACAGAGAGAGACAGAGCATGAACGGGGGAGGGGCAGAGAGAGAGGGAGACACAGAATCGGAAACAGGTTCCAGGCTCTGAGCCATCAGCCCAGAGCCTGACGCGGGGCTCGAACTCACGGACCGCGAGATCGTGACCTGGCTGAAGTCGGACGCTTAACCGACTGCGCCACCCAGGCGCCCCTACCTTTCTAATGACATCAAAGTAAATACGAGTATTTCATTTATTATCGTTGGTATCAATAACAGCTGTTTATTAAATATCTATTTTGGGGGCACCTGGGTGGCTCAGTCGGTTAAGTGGCCGACTTCAGCTCAGGTCATGATCTCGCGCTCCATGAGTTCCAGCCCCACGTCGGGCTCTGTGCTGACAGCTCGGAGCCTGGAGCCTGCTTCAGATTCTGTGTCTCCCTCTCTCTGACCCTCCCCCGTTCATACTCTGTCCTCTGTCTGTCTCAAAAATAAATAAACGTTAAAAAAAAAAATTTAAAAAAAAATCTATTTTGTCAGACACTATGCAGAGCACTTTTCCTTGCATTATGCCTCATTTTCACTAAACTTTTGCAAAGTTAATATTAATTGTCTGTTTTATGGATGGAGAAACTTAGAATCAGAGATGTTAAGTAATATATGCAAAGTCATACCACCAGTAGGCATCCAGATTTATTAGATTTCACAGTGCTCTATACTACCCCAAATAGAATTTTTCCTTCAGTAAGTAACATGTCCTAATTGAAACATGACTTTCTTGTCTTTCTTAACTGGCTTATGCATCTCTCTGCATTCTTTAGCCAGAGTTTATCAGAGATAGCTGGACCTCTTTGAGCACCATGTATACTATGAACATAGCATATTGCTGTGGTGGGTGACCTTGGGACTAGTGAGTTCTTGCCCTAATGTCAGTGGCCCAGACTCTTTGTAAAACTTTGGGCCTCTCCTGTTTGCTGAAATGGTCTCCTTGTGATGACTTAAGACAATAATTTCAGTTTCTTTGCTTAAATTCTTCTTTTGCAGAGTTTGAATCTACCTTTTAGAAAATTTATATTATCTTATTAAATGGTCATTTAAAAAGTATATTAATGTACACAATGAATATTCTATCAGTATTTCATGTCAAAAGTTTATTACTCCCTTAAATTTAACACTTGGAAAAATACATTTTGCACTAAATTAGTTTTCTCTTCTAGCTGCAGAAAAAGAAAAGCTTTCCCGACTTCCCCCTAAAAGACAGCACTTCTCTGTCTTTCATCTTGTTCTCTCTTTGAAGATAAAGCCACAGATAGTACAAAGCAGTGTCATTGCTGGTCCTCTGCTGACCTGCCAAGCCCCTGGCCATTGTTAGCTGAAACCTCACTGTGCACTTCAACTCCTAGCAGGCCTGTGCTCCCGGCCTCCCCGTTCCTGCCCCCGCACAGTTTGTACTGCACTGACTTTACTGCTGTTTTTTCTTAGCAGTTCTTAGCCAGGCTGCAGCTTTGGAAAGTGTCCTTTTCTTGGCCCTTTAAATATATCTTATGCCCCTCCCCACCTCTTTCCTTTGCACCATTATAGTTCATCACTTGGCAGCTCTTTTGCTGTCATCTTGTCATTGTTTTCTCTTTACAGTCTACCGTGGTGAGTTTCCAAAGAGTATCACTGAAAGTTTACATATTGTGTATACCAGGAACCTTTTAGAAATCTTATGACTTGGGGTGCCTGGGTGGCTCAGTTGGTTAAGCTTCCAGCTCTTGATTTCAGCTCACGTCATGATCTCATTGTTTCGTGGGTTCAAGCCCTGCATTGTTCAAGCCCTGCACTGTTAGTGCAGAGCCTGCTTGGGATTCTCTCTCTCCCCCTCTCTCTGTTCCTTCCCCACTCATACTGTCTCTCTCAAAATAAATAAACTTAAAAAAAAAGAAGTCTTATGGCTAATGTAGAGAGGGATGAAAAACAGAAATATGGATTTAACGTAGTAATAGATCAGAAAATCATTTCAAACTGTAATGGGAAAATGTGATTCTTAGGAAAAGAATTATGTATCTTCTCTGCCTGTTGGGGGCAAATAACTAGAGGTCTAAGGCTGTGTTGTCCAGTATGATAGCCACTAGGCACATGTGGCTGTTGAGCACATGAAATGAAATTAGTCTGGACTGAAATGTGTAAGAAATGTAAATTACCAGATTTCACAGACTTGATAGGAAGAAAGTAATGTAAAATACCACATTAAAAATTTTATATTCACTATATATTGACATGATAATATCTTGGATAACATGGATAAAATAAAATACATTAAGATTAATTTCATCTGTTTCTTTTGATCTTGTAATGGGGCTACTAGTAAATGTATGGCTACAGATGTAGCTCACATTTGGACAGCACTGCCCTAGACCATAAAAGTAGCACCACTGAGCTGATGGAGTATCAGACCCTGAGCTGGGTGCTTAAATATATTATCTTATTAAATGATCACAGCCAAGCCTGAAGCTTAATTACTGTTCACATTTTACAGGTGAGGAAAGTGAGACTGGGTTATTAACTAGCTTGCCCAGGACAACAGTGAGTTAAATGATACACCTGGGCTTGACCTGAGTCTGACTCTCCCAAAGTGGGTGCTCCTAACAAATATGCCACATGTCGAGCTTACCTGGAGCTTAAGAAGTTACTTTTGTCTGTAGGTGCCTTGCACCCTTTCGAAAACATATGCTTGCATCAGGGCCCTGCCTTTGTTGTGTGTGATTTCTTTCTGGTAACACAGACACAAGAGGCCTTCACTCAGTAGAGGGTTGCCCAGCAGTTATCTCATTGGGTCTCCAAGCAGACAGAAGCCTAAGAGGTAGGCTGGGATCTGGTTGCTGTGTGTGGTACAGGAGGGGCTATCTGTGCCCTTGAAACAGACATGGATTCATGAGACTTTATTTGCTGCATTCTCATTGCTACCAGGGGAACAAATTCCCACATGCAAAGCCTTCCCTTTTCCAGGAATGACTGTAAACCATCTGTTTGTGCCACCTTCAGGGGCACTTCATCCCCTTCCTTCACTCTGGAACTCATTTGGTGACCTCCACTGATGGATTCAGTTCTGGTCTCAGTTGATTCCTCAGCCTTACCTGACTCTTGAGTTGCCACTCTGAGTCTCTCACTTGATGTCATGGGTCTCTTGCCCTCTCCATAATGGCCTCCTTTTTGCCTCTGCCTGACCCCTGAATAGCTGTACTCCCCCGAGGGTACCCCACTCTGTACTGGTGGTTTTGTAACCTTGAGGTGGGGTTGGGAGGATCACAGACAGACAACATTTTGTGCGTAGTTTCACAATGCTCACTTACTCCCTAAATCTCATTCACAGTCTCAGGGTTCACAGATTCTAGGTTAAGGTCTCTGTATTATCTCCCTGGGGCACTGCCTCTACCTTTCATGGTTAAACATCATCTATATGCCAGGGACACTCAGACCTATACTGCCAAGCCAGGCCTCTCACCTTCTTCTGTCCCCCCTACTTTCCTGGGCATAGTTCAAGCACCATGCAGTTTCTCCAGCTTCTTTTCTGTCCTTTTGTCTCTAAAATAAACATAAAAATTTATTAAAGTTTTAAAGATGAACTTTAGTGTTAGTAATTATAGGATTATTAACCCAGTTTGACAAGTCTAGCATACAATGGGGAAAGCAATGGTCGTGAGCGA